TATAATGAGCCAATGCGAAGAATTTTGTTTCTAGGAAACAGCAGACCCATTACGTGAAGCACCAGACTGCTGACACCAAAGCCAAGGGGGGAAAGCCAGGAAACTCCCCTAGAATGAATTGTTAAAAGAAAGAAAGCAATTCTCTAGCTGGTCACAAAGGGGAAAGACCTTATGCCATCTATCACACTTTTCCTAGCATGAGGTAATGAGCTGGCAATTAGTCTCTTATCTGGGTTATACAAAACTAACCTAGTCTCAGGAGGGAACATTTATGCAGGAAGTGTTGGGAGATGTTAATTCTTCCCTTATCTCTTGCTGAGAAGAGATACTGACTAATGAAGTTCACCCTGGTCAGGCTAAATCCCTAACCTTCTGCCTCTTCAATTGTAATACAACATCAGGCAGGAATAGGCTAACCTCTGTCTTACATACACTACTTTTTATATATATAATCCTCATACCAGTTGTATTTTAAATTAGTCATTAAGGCGTAATCAAAACTGTTAAATGGCTCTGAATATGTACTTCTAGCTTTCTTCCCCACTGTGCCTTCTGGGAAAAGAGCCAGCCTGGGTAGCCTTGGGCAAGCCACACAGTTCCAGGGTGCCCGTAAAAGAAACAACAGAGCACTCTAGACCCAAAAAGCCCTGGGGGGGGGGGGTTGCTTTAAGTTCCAATCTACTTGACAGCATGAAGTTATTATTAAGAAAAATATATCAGAACAAGATCTACTGGCTAGCATCTTTACGGTCTATCAACAAGCAAGTGTTACGATGGTCTGTTAAGAGATTTGTCAAGAGTTCACGGCTAGACATTCTCAAAACTCTCCCAAGCCAAATTATACAAAATATTTATCAATGCCTCTATCCTGGAGCCGAATCATTCCCCGTACTTATAAATCTGCTATTGACATTGTAGGGAAAAAAGAAAGAAACCATGCTTGCGTTTCACTTGACTGTGAGAAGGTTGTCCAGGTGGTCATCTTTGTGCAGTTGCAGAAACATTGCCTGCTTCTCAAAGTCTTGGCTATCACTGTGACTGCCGTCAGCTCCTAGCAGGACACCATTCCCTGTTCTTGTGTGGCATTGAACAGAATCACTCAAGTGGTTCCATGCTGTTTCTCACGGTACAGATACAAAAGGTAACTTCTATTCAACAGAAAAAGGACTGTCCATATAGGTCCCATTTGCATTTTTTACTTCCAGCTATTCGAGGGCGGAGAAGGATCTATAAATGCTGTTCCTGCCCCCACTCACTCAAGGACATGATTTTAATCTAAACAACCCTTTAAAAGCGGGAGACAACCCTTCCCCAAACTTTGAAAGGCTGCCTCCTCCTTTGCATCCCATTAAATTTACTACATAATTCTTTTAGAAAAGTACCTGGGCAAAATACAAAATAAGAAAATAAAAGTAGCAGAGTGATTCCTGAGTGTAATCAAAGTCCTGGGTACTCAGTCACTGCGTCTGCAAAAAGGTACAAACAAGGAAGATTTTCTGGGGTAGTTAAAGTCTCACCTCATTTGAAACGTCTTTAATTTAATAAAGGTATTAATCAACTCAGAATTTTGTCTCTGCAAGGAACCAAAGGGATTGCACCAAAGGTCCACACTACCGAAGCTCTATAAACCTCCATAGCCCCTTACCCACAGATTTGCCCGAGCATCTATACATAGATTTACAACCTTCTAAGATGATAGAACGAGTATTCAGTCTCTTACTTTTGTTTGGTGTTCTCTGGAGCGATGGATACAGGATGAAGGCAGGTCTTTGGAATTCATGAAGAGACAATGATAGTTTGCAGAAGCTGATCAGCTTCAATGTCAGAAACATATCTTGTCATATTTTACCAAAAAGCAGCAGCCTGGATTGTTGATCACTATTCTCTCTGCTGCCCCCCCCCAAAAAAAACATTCCTTGGCCTCTACACTACTGACTTCATAGTTTTTCCCCCCTTATGGATCTAGAGTCCTGTTGTTTCAGTTTCTCAAAATATTCATGGAGATTGCCACCACCCAAACACCTTAAAGTTCAAAATGTTGACCCTGGACTCAAGGTAAAATCCTAGCTCTTTAACCATTCTTTGCCAGGGTAAGATCCTACTATGAGATTTAAGAAATGCTAACCTGTATCGTCTCTAAAGCACTTAAATCACCAAAGGCATTGCTCAGAAGCTGTAGGTATTTCCTTGACCAAATACCTATTACTGGGCACTGAACTAAAACATCCGCTTCCTTCCCCCCATCACCCCATCAAAAATCCTCCCTCTTGCCTCCTTGGACTCTACCTTGCTCATGCGATCACCCCTACACCTTGCCTCCTTTCTTCGCACTCCGATGATCTGAGCACAACATCTCTGCAGTGGTAACAAGCGGTCTGAAAATGCTCCTATTAAGGAGCAGCAAGCAACAGCCAGTGAGCTATTACACTCTCCAGAGTGGAGCAGGAGCAGAAGCTGGTGCAGAAATCTGTTGCTGGGACCAGCCCAGTTCTCATGGTGGGCAGGAGGAACTCAGAAAGGAACCAATAGCGATGCAACAAGGTCCTGGCTCCCTGAGGAGCACAGGGATGATGTCCACCTAGATGCTGGCAACACTACAACCTGTTTTGCAGCATTTCCTGTATTTACTTGATGATTATGGCTGTTTGTTGTGGTGACTAGGCTTGTGTTTTCTTCCAGGTATGTACATATTCTTAAGTTGTCATCAGAAGAGGGTGAGTTTAATGAACCTAAAGTTAAAACTGAATTCCTAGTGTGATGTAGTGCATAGAGTGACAGACTAGCACTCTGGAGAACAGGGTTCAAATCCCCACTTGGCGATGGAAGCCGACTGGGGAAGTGGAACTAGTAAAACCACTCCTTAAATATATCACTTATGTTGAAAGCCCTATTTGGATTGCTATAAGTTGGTTCCAACTTGACAGCACAGAACACACAAAGGTAAAGATAAACTTTAGCCACTTCTTTGATTTTTTTAAAAAAATTAAAATCATACAAGAAAATTGCAGGTGATGAGTGATATGAGTCTGAATCATTTGGATTAAAAGAAGGGTGGATAAAACTCAATCATTTTTTAAAAATTTCAATTGTGATTTCAATCAAATCCACCCTGAGAAAAAGGCTACTCATATCTTTTGAATAAATTCCTGAAGTTTTTGAGTGAAGCATTATTTCTTCAGGAGCTACCACCAAAAGGAAATCTGAAATGCAGCAGGCCACACTTACCGGTTTGCTATGTGTAGTAACAGATGCAATACCAAACATTTACTGGGTTTTGTTTTGTTTTTCTCTTCAGGTGTTGCAAAGCACAAATCATGTTCTTAAAATGGTAAGTATGATCAATCCCAAACCTAAAATGATTTGATTTTCCCCCAGCAGGGACGTCTGGTCTTAAGATAGACAATGTCAGCCTGAGAGGGAAAAGTGGAGAGGAGACTCTTACTGAAATGTAACTTGGATGACCATCTATGCTAGTAAGCAATCTTCCAGGGGCCTCCACATTCTTTCCTCCCCAGGCCCTCTTCGTTCGTTTTAATGAAATCAGCTAAAATACCTCTATCAGACAGAGAGTTATAGACTGGGAACGTGTGCTATGTTTCAGGATCAGTATAGATCAGGAAAACCTCTAGCGTTTTACTAGAGCAGCTTCAGACAATTATTTTGCTACTTGAAGAATAAAACTTAAATTGCTATTAGGATCTAATAAATGAATTAATTTATGCCATTAAAATAAATTAATCAGGCTATCTCATCACAGACAGACCACTGCTGTACTTTGTCAGTTTTTCCATACACCTAACCTCCCAAACAGACACCTGGAAAATCAGTCCGTAGCTAGGATGGCCATATGCTCTAACAATTTCAGTCAGTACTTATTCAGAGGAGCTACTGTCCTTTGCCAGACAGGACAGCAGAGTAGACCAGGAGAAAGCATCCATTCAAGTCAAAATTTCAGCCAAACAGATTTCCGTTTATTGGCAAGATTCACCATGAATATGGAAGAACACACAATCTCTTACGACCAACACTATAAAATTAAAGACCGTATGAAAAGTAGTAAATTATTGAGAAGCAGTTTCACCACTGGGTTTTTTACAAGATGAACTGTTGCTACTGCAGTCTATTTAAAATCTTGGGGCAGCCTGACCAAGACAGCCTTGGGACAGCTGACTTACAATACGATTCTAAACACATCCACCAGCAACCTTGGCCAGCATCGCACTGTTCTTTATTATGCTTTATTGGCACAGTTGTTAATACAGCTACAAACCTGGTTCAGCAATTATAATCACCAGGCTGTTAGTGAAACACAAATATCTCCTTATAGTTCTACAAGTGACCCTCTGCCTGCATATTAATTTATTGTCTTTTGCATTCACGGTTTGTTGTTGTTTTTAAATTGCTTCACAGAGCAAAGAAAAACAGAGGGCAGGAAAAAATAGCACCACACAGTTTCATAAAGTATAAAACAAAGGTCATCTTAAAATTTGGTCAAATGCAGGACACTGAAAAAAAATCTTCCTGTTCTTAAACCATACATCCTGTTGTGACAGTATGTATTTTGGGGCAAAGGCTATTTTATCATAACCTCAATCTGGTTGACATTTTAAACCATTCGAATAGAGGGACCTGTAATTCAGAGACCATTAATTGCCTGCCAGCTAATAACAGATAAAGAGCAGCACACCCAAACGGCAAGTATGGCTATCTAGAAAATTGTCCTTTTCTTCCCATGAACACGTAGCCTTCCTCTCGGCTACTTCATTTTGGTTACAAAGGATCATGCAAGCCCACATGACTCTCCTTAATGTAACACAGAAACATGAAAACATTGAAGCACATCTCCATTTCCAAAAACAACACAGCTCTGCAGGATTGACACGTTTATTTTAAAAGAAGACTAGAAGACAAGAAAAAGAAGAAAAAAAGGGAGGGGGGGAGAAGATGCAACTACGTGAACACTCTCACACACATAGTGTCTAAAAGGGGAATGCACATACCTGCCAGCAGATGCCATTTCCTCTACATTTTATACCCCGGTGTGCACCGTTTGGCCATTATTGCCACCATAAACCGTACAGTAAAATGGATTGCTTTGCTGACTCGAATACCAGCTGGTTAGTAGAAAAGTGGCTTCCCCCATGCATGATTCAGTCTCCTTGACAAATATACTGCATTGTACTAGATGAGTCATCAGAGGACTATTCTGCATTTTATAGGCGAGTTGCGTAGTTCCTCATATTTCAGCATCCTGATTCCCACAATGAATTACACCAAGAACTGGCCGAAGATACCTCCTATTCATTCTTTAACTCCTTGGTGGTTTTTTTTTTCTTGCTTATGTCAAGGTATTGTTTCTAACAGAAGCAGGCAAGCTGCGGCATTGACATTTTTTCCTTAAGGTTCTGCAAAGTCAAGGTTGCACGGTGCTAGCACTCCAGGGCAATTTGTCATTGATATATTGGTGAATGGGCCATGATGTTTGCCTAATATCTGCCTCCACAAAGCAAACACAGGCCACGCAGCCCCTTGTAGGGTAGCCTACAGGGCTTCTGCGTACAAGGGGAAACAATTCACTCAGTTTCCCTGGGAAAGAGCAGGTGAGTTTGAAGGACACTGAAATCATTTCAGTGCATCCTTTGAATCTTTTCGTGAAAGCAGGAGAAAGAGAGAATCTTTTTGTGGAAGGGCAAGAGAGGATCGCTCATTCCAGGTTCATTCACAGCGTGATAAACTGTGGTTTGAGCAAGGCTCCAACTCACATCAGTCAGAAACCATTTTCCTCTTAGAACCAGGTCCTGGTGTGAGAAAGAAAGATGAAAAGGTGCCAAATAACGTGACTGTGGGGAACAATGAAGTACACTCCTTTTTACCCACTAGTCCCCCCTCCAATCAGTGCCTTCCTGAACTCTCTCTGAATGTGTAATTCTGCTTCAAAAGCAAGAGCTGCCTACCACAGTCCCATGGCTAGCTCTAACTAATAAAACTTAATATTTACTAAGCATTTCCTGAAAGTGGGAGCTAACACTATGTGAGAAGCAGCCAGGAGAATGGCCAGAAGAGATCCTAGGCTAAATACAGTTGTTAGTTTCAACAGGGGCAGCCCCACTAAATCAGTGGGATCTGTACATTGATTCTGTAGGTTGCATGAGTCGGCTGCATGAGTCCCTTGCAGCCACGACCTATGAATTTCTTCAAACCAGGTAGACTTTTGAGTTTTGCACATTTGGACCACCCACCGGAAGTGGTTGTAGGTATATTTATATAAGCTATGGAAAAATATATAACTTATATAAGCTATCCTGGCAAATAGAAGGGGAGGATATGGAGGCAGTGACAGATTTTACTTTCTTGGGCTCCCTGATCACTGTAGATGGTGACAGCAGCCACGAAATTAAAAGACCCCTGCTTCTTGGGAGGAAAGCGATGACGAACCTAGACAGCACCTTAAAGAGCAGAGACATCACCTTGCCAACAAAAGTCCGAATAGTCAAAGCTATGGTTTTTCTAGAGCGATGTATGGAAGTGAGAGTTGGACCATAAAGAAGGCTGACCGCCAAAGAATTGATGCTTTGGAATTGTGGTGCTGGAGGAGACTCTTGAGAGAACAAACCTATCCATCTTGAAGGAAATCAGCCCTAAGTGCTCACTGGAAGGACAGATCCTGAAGCTGGGGCTCCAATACTTTGGCCATCTCGTGAGAAGATAAATATCCCTGGAAAAGACCCTGATGTTGGGAAACTGTGAAGGCAAGAGGAGAAGGGGACGACAGAAGACAAGATGGTTGGACATCTCATCATCGAAGCGACCAACATGAATTTGATCAAACTCCAGGAGGCAGTGGAAGACAGGAGGGCCTGGCGTGCTCTGGTCTATGGGGTCACGGAGAGTCAGACATGACTTAACGAATAAGCAACAACAACAAATGGGAAAAAGGTGTGTAAAAAGAATTTTAATTATAATGGTTACGATGGTTCTTCATAGCTGGGAAGAAAATCTGAAGAGCCTGCAACAAAGCAGATATTGCTGCATACTTAGGTAAATATAGCTATCTATGCAACCCAGCCTAATGTTGATCTAATCCTGTATTAACTGTACAGCCCACAGAGTGCAAAGCAAAGTGAGGTAGCAGAAGTTGTTGGTGAAGACAATGACAGGTGTTGGTGAAAAGTACAAGTGAGTCAGATCAAAAAGAGCACAGAGCACTCTGATGTAAAAAAGAAAGAAAGCGGCAGTTTATTTATATAATCGTTCTAAAGGCTTTAGTTATCAACACAGAAGAAAACTGGAAGTGATCCAGGCTACCATTTGCAAAAGCATGGAATACTCATGGAAAAAGCTGCATGGGTAGTGGGGGGATGGTACTATTTTTAAATGCAACTGGCTTTGAACCTCTTAATTATGCTTAATTTACTTGGATTTCTTGAGGAGGAAAAGAAGAATTTATGAAGTACCTTTGAAGCAGTTTCAAGAGCACAGCTGGGCAAAAATGAACAAGGTGGTTGAAAGAGTTATTTTTCATTCAAGGGATCAGAAATGGAAATGTGTCTGATGTTTATTTAAAGAGCTTCCTTCCTTCCCCCAATATATATATATTTTACAACCAACACGTCTGCTTATCATCCTGAGGTAGGTAGGAGGTGGACTTCAAAACAAACCAAGTATTAGCTTCCAGATTATCTCTCCATTAAAGGGATGGCCAAAAAGGAAAGAAAGTGACCCTACTGATCCAAATGGGTCTACAAAATCCAAATGAGTCAATGGGGGGCGGGGGAAGCTAACGAGCTGCGCTGAAACCATGGAATAGATGTAGCCCTGTTAAAAGTTTACCATTATTTTATGTAGCTTTCTTGAACTTATTTTTATTATATTTTATCTGATTTTTATTTGTTCTTTTGACCAGCTTGGATGGCCAAGGCTAGACTCATTCCTTCTAATAAGATTGCGTATCTTGATAAATCATTCCCAGGTCCCTCTCAACATGCTTCTCCCAAAATCAAAAGCAAGCGGCAAAAGATCGGCGGGATGGCAGAGGCAGCTGGGAAATTACTATATATCTGAAGTCCTATGGTAGGGTAGTGCTGGACCCAAAACTTTTTTTAAAGTTCCTTTTTTTAAACATCTTATTTTCATTTTTCTCAGTAGAAAAATCGGAAATTTTGGGGAACCCAGAAGAACACTAATCTAGGTCCAGTGATGGGGGAAGAATACTAGAGGGCTGTCTACTGACTATGACAGAACTGGATGAAGAACATTCAACCAATAGAGCCTGAAGCCAGCCAGGATACTTTGGGGCAGAAAGAAAAGCACTGAGTGAGCCAGACAACCTGCCTTTAGGTGGGACAGAAGAATCACACATTTTAAAAATGTGCTCCCGAATCCTTGGATTCGGAGGGGTGGGTGGGGGGAGACCTCCAGAAGAGGGGAACCATGCTGGGGAACCATCTCGGTATGCCACCATGAGAAGACTCAGACATTTTTTATTGAAGGGGAAGATTGTCTTCGTTCTTCCTCATAGTCACACTGTTCGGCACCTTTTCATCTTTTCTTCCCACTCATGCTGTCACACCAAGACCTGGTCCTAAGAAGAAAATGGCTTCTGATGGATGAGGGTTGGAGCCTTCTTCAAATCACAGTTTATCAAGTTGGGTAAATGTGGAGAGGAGACTCTTTTTGAACTGTAACTTGGATGACCATCTAAGCCGGTAAGCAATCTTCCAGGGGCCTCCACATCCTTTCCTCCCCAGGCCCTTTTCATTCATTTTAATGGAATGAGCTAAAATACCTCTAACATAGTGGTCCCCAACCTTTTTGGGGCCGTGGACCGGCTGGGAGGGAGCAAGCTCCATATGTGTGGAGGGGGCCAGGGGCACGACATGCTTGTGCGATGGGCGTGTTGTGCTTGTGCGCATGCATGCAAGTGTCACACACACCCCTGCACGAGTGTGACACACCACCGCGTGAATGTGCCACATCCCCACGCGAGTGTGCCGGGGGGGCGAAGATCCGTATCCACGGCCCAGTTCCAGCAAGCCCACAGACCGGCACTGGGCTGCGGACTAGGGGTCGACGACCCCTGCTCTAACAGACAAAGAGTTATAGACTGGGAATGTGTGATTCAGAAGCACATTTTAAAAACATGTGATTCTTCACATTTCAGTATAAATTATTAAACTTCTATTAAATCAAAACAAGATTCAAAGTTGCTTGATTCCCAAATTTTCTTGTTAGCTGTGACTCTTACCTAGGCTCAGCTTTCCACAAGAAGACTTGAACATGTCTGTTAGCTCCAACAGCATACAACCCACACAACCCACTCTGGTTGTGCCATCCTTCAAGTCAGACTAAGGAGGAGAGGCATTCTTTTCTTCTAGTAGCTCACAGAAGATCCTATGGCAGTGACATTCCTTGCCATGGCTCTCAGTTCTCTTCTTGCTGCCGCTGCAGCAGAGTTGTTTTTCCCAAACTAGACTCATTCCCAGCTTTGCTGTTGGTCCCAGGAGTAGAAAAGCTTGGAAATGGAAACAACCAAACACCATTGTTTCTTTATTTTGGAGGCTTCTACATGTCCTACCATGTAGTCTCTGTTTTCTGCTCTTAGCTTCGACAAGGTGGATGTATTCCATGAAAGCTTACGTTAAAACCTAGCAGTTTAATGTTTAAGGTGCCCCACTGGTTTTTTGTTTGTTTTGCTTTTGTTTTGTGTTTCTCGTTAAAATGCTTGGAAATGGTGACTGTTTTCCATTTCTGCTCAACTTCCCTTCTCAAGTATCTCGGGCTCTTTCCTACGAGCTGAGACAGTGTGGGAAGCACCATCAATGCCTCCAGCAACTGCACAACTGCCTGACCACACTCATTTCCAGTTGAGTTAAGGAGGCTGAGGGCTGCATGAGATAGCTTCTGTAGCTCTGTCACTCTACACAAACCTAGTCCAGCAGCTTTCCACAGGATTATCTGTCCTTCTATATCCATTTGTGTAAACCTCATAATGCTCAGGAGAAAACTATTATGAAGAACACCGGCAGTCCTATGGTCCATGTGTGGTGGACGGGAAGGCTCACTCCAC